AGCCAGATATCGCTGGAAAAACTTGCTTGAAGGCTTCACACAAAATCAGCAGTTTTTATACAATTTTCTTATGTGATTAAATGCATATTCAAGTGATTGCAACATCTGTCTATACATATTAATAACAGGTGGAGTATAGGTGGAGCTCAGGCGGGGCTTGGGGCGGTGCTTCTCTTGGCCCTCAGTCTTGGGGGTAGTTCTGTTCTTCCTCCCTGGGTCTGGGGGCTTAATCTCATCTTCCTCAGCTTGACCTCTCTTCTTTTCCATTGCTCTTGACCTGCTCACTGAAGCTTAGAAAAAGGGTTGACTCCTGGCCTGTTTCTTCTATTCAAATGTCTGCCTTATCCTACTGCATCTTAATTTATTACCTCTAAGGCCTATTACATGTTCTTTTACCATTCTTTTAAGTTTTGGTCCAGTAAGTAGAACAGAACAAGTACAGCTTGTTTGGATGTTAATACCTTGTTAGCAGGCCCAAATTTCTTAGTTAACTCTTTTGGGCCTGGCCTCCTGTTTCATAAGAAAGAGAACCCCAACCCCCAAAACCAAAAACAGAGAAAAAACCCCCAGATATATGCAGATATACAGAGCTAATAGAGAGCTAGCAAACAAAAAGAATCTTCATACTTTCCTTGAGAAAGCATCTCAAAATATTCCCTGATTTTAGATTATCTCATTTCAAAATATTCCATGATTTGAGATCACCTCCTCTCCAAATATTCCATGATTTTAGATCACCCCATCTCAGAATATTCCATGATTTGAATTTGCCTCATCTGACACGAGCTGTGAACTGAACTGGAATTTTGGGGTGTCTGTACAGGAGCAGGAGTTGGACTTGATGGTCCTGGTGGGTTCCTTCCAGCTGAAAATATTCCCTGATTTTAGATCTCCTCATCTCAAAATATTCTCTGATTTTAGATGACCTCATCTCCAAATATTCCCTGATTTGAGATCACCTCCTCTCAGGGAAGCATTTAGGATTTATCTTATGATGTGCTTTAGAAATGGTTTTTAACATGTCTGTTTGATATCTTATTGTTGTGCAATATTTTGTATTTTTATATATATATATATATAATTTATGTACATAAAGATATGTGTGTGGGTGAGGTTGCTCATGGCTATGAGAGAGAGAGACAGGATAGACCTCGCTGATAAATAGATTTTTGCAGTGTATTGTGCTGTTTTGTGTTGTTTTTCTGGTTCTTTTTTGTTTCCAGAACAGAGAATATTTTCCAGTAAATCAAATAATAATGATATAAAAAGCAGCTGTTAGTTCATGGGGGGTTTTTTAATATATCAAGGAGTGCAGTGAGAGCTCAAGTGGAACCCAAACGCTCTATTTCAGCCTCTCGTTGACACTTGCAATCCTCATTTGAGGACAAATGTACCTTTATAAAGCAACAATAATAAAGAAAACAATAATTCCCCTGCATTTGGAGCCTTTTCCTGGCCAAAATTTCACCATCTCCTGTTAACAGAGCTCTGCAGGGGCTCTGATGTTGTAATCACTGCCTTGGCTGCAGGATCATTCCTTTCCCCTTGGATATGAGATGAATATTATGTAAAACCATAATAATTTATGGTTTATATTTTATATAAATATATACAAATTTATATTTTATGATTTTATGAGGGAGTTTTTAGCCCTGATTAACGTATCCTTGTATCCTTGTTGGAATTAGACCTTTGCCAACCCCGTTTTAGGTGGATGCAAACACTGTCAGGGCATCATTTCTGCTCGCTGCATCCCACTCCTGCAGCCTGCTCTTTGTATTCTACTCACATTAATTGAAGTAATTTTGCCACTGAAGCGTGTTTCGAACCCCCCTGCATTTAAATTGAAATTTTAATTCCCTTATTGTTTGGAAAAGGAGGCTGGAGATGGCTTGTTACAGGTTTCATTATCACTCAGAACTCTCCAGCTGCTGGTTCTAATGTGCAGTGACTGAGTAATGCGGGGAAGGATTGTTAATAAAAGAGTGGCAGCTTCTCCCAGTCGTACAAACACAATGCAGAGGTAGTTTGTGACAGCTTACATTTGTGTGAAGTTAAAAATTTGAAGTGACAGCTCTTTTTTTTTCTTCCTGGTTCTGCTTTCACCCAGAGCAGCACAGCTTCAAATATCAGGTGTTCACGTTCTGTGCTCCTCCAGCATCCCGAGAACAGAGCAGAGCCAGTGTAGGATCAGCTTTGCTGTCCTGTAATTGCACCCTCACAGGTTGTCTAAAAGAACCTTAATTCCAGCATCCTTTGAGTTGGGAAGCTTTGGAGAAATTAGGGTTGTCTGGAACAGATAAAACACCCATTTGGGATGGAATGTGGTTTAGTTATTTTTAATTTCTTTATGTGGGTTTTTCATGGTGCGAGTTGGTAACTGAGGTGAGTTTTCCTGAGGTGGATCTTTCACAGACTCGATTGCTGGTGGAAATGTTCACTTTCATGTAGCAGTTGAGAGCACAGGCACCCATTTGTGTGTGTTTTCTGCTTAATATAAAACATAAAAAGGGGCTCAGAGGGGACCTTCTCACTCTTTCCAACTCACTTGGTGGAGCCGGGGGGAAGTCGGGCTCTGCTCCCAGGGAACAAGGGACAGGAGGAGAGGGAACAACCTCAAGCTGGGCCAGGGGAGGTTTAAATTGGATATTAGGGAAAATTTCTTCCTGGAAAGGGCTTGTCTAGCCCTGGCACAGCTGCCCAGGGCAGGGTGGAGTCCCCATCCCTGGAGGGATTTCAAATCCCTGTGGATGTGGCACTTGGGGACATGGGTCAGTGGTGGCCTTGGCAGTGCTGGGGAGTGGCTGGACTTGATCTTAGAGGGCTTATCCAAAGGGAAAACTTAATATTTGCCATTTGTTTATACAGTCTAAGAGATAAAATGCTAAAAGCAGTTGAAGAAGCATTGTTGAATCAAGTAATTAAAGGTCATATCATAATAGGATTAGATAAAAACTCCTCAGGCTACTTTCTTTGCATGTCCTGACTTTTGTGTGCCCAGCTTTACAATTTTAATGAAGTCACACCACTTTCTCAGAATATATCAAATTCTTTTTAAAAAAAAATTCTTATAGACCATGAAACACTTACTCTGAACTTGATTTATTAGTCCAGGGATTGTGTCAGGTGAGAAAACACAACGAAACTGCAGAAATCAATCCATATGATGGGAGGGAGGATAACTCCTGTTGCCAGTTGGGATTTTTTTTGTTGTTTTTTTTTTTGGTGTTTTTTTTTTGTTAGGACAACAAGAAGGAAAATAAAAGTGGAAAAAAGGAAGGATGGAGCCCTGTGATGTGTGTTCACTTAACTTCACACATCCTTGTGTTACAGAGTGAAGAACTCAGTGTTTTACTTTACTCAGTGTTTTACTTTACTGAGTGTCTTTGTCCCAGGAAACCCAAAGCTGAAGTGACAGTAATTCGTTTTTCAGGGAATGCTCCAACATTCCTTCCCTTTTTTTCCATGTTAAGGACTTAACATTTCAGTTTCCTGATGTCAGGAAAACAATAATACACGTCTCCTGCTCTGCTTTCTGACGTGGATAACAGCAGCAGGGTGGTTTTTTGGAGCTGCAGCAGGATTTTTTTGGGGGGCTGAGCACTTTCTCTCTGTACCAGTCGGAGTTTCTGGAGTGGAGCTGGTGCCTGATATTTGCTGTTGGATTCAGTTAAACCCTCTTGGCTCAGCCTGCAGCTGGGCAGGAGGGGAGGTGGCTCTGCAGGAAGATGAGGGCATTTTGCATCCTCACCACTGGCATCCTTAGGAGGAATTAAATGTGTTTCCTCTCAGCTCCATAGGCCGTGAGATGGAGCAGGTCCAGAGGAGAGCAACTAGGCTGGTGAAAGGACTCAAGCACAAGTCCTATGAGGAGAGGCTGAGGGAGCTGGGGCTGTTCAGCCTGGAGAGGAGGAGGCTCAGAGGAGACCTCCTCACTCTCTGCAACTCCCTGACAGGAGGGGGGAGCCAGGTGGGGGTTGGTCTCTTTTCCCAGGCAACTCTTGGCAAGACAAGAGGGCTCAGTCTTAAGCTGGGCCAGGGAGGGTTTAGGTTGGATATTAGGAAGAGTTTCTTTCCAGAGAGGGTGATCAACCATTGGAATGGGCTGCCCAGGGAAGTGGTGGATTGTCCATCCCTGGAGGTTTTTAAGAAGAGACTGGATGTGGCATCAGTGCCATGGGCTGGGAACAGCAGCGGGGTTGGATCAAGGGTTGGACTTGATGATCTCGGAGGTCCCTTCCAACCCAGCTGATTCTATGATCTCTGTTGGGTTAAATTTTGAAGAGCGTTGCTTTGTCCCAAAATCTCACCTTTCTATTGGGAACAAACCAAACTGGAGGTGCTGCCAAACCATTTTACAGAAAACTGATCCATTTTTTTTAACTGCAGGACTTCACAACCCAACCGGGTGACTTAGGGAGGTGACAATGTGGGCAGAAATCAGAGGTGTTCGGATAAGTGGAAATGCTGGGCAGAAATCACAGAATCGTGGAGTGGGGTGGGTTGGGTTGGGTTGGGTTGGGAGGGACCTCAAAGATCATCCGGTTCCACCTAGGCCAGGTTGGATGGGGCTTGGAGCAACCTGGGCTAGTGGAAGGTGTCCCTGCCCATGGCAAGGGGTGGAACTGGATGATCTTTAAGGGCCCTTCCAACCCAAACCATTCCATGAGTCCGTGTCCCCCTCAATAACAATGTTCCCCAACATTCCATGTGCTCCATGTTAATCCTCTGTGAGGACATTTGGAATCATTGACGTCCTCCTGGAAACCAGTGGCTGTTTGTAGCCCTGGGCATTGTTGAGTTTTCATTTTTATTACTTGACTGGAGCTGCTACCTGTGGCTTTCCTCGGGATACACCCAGGAGAGGCTTTCAATTAAAAGTCCCGTGTAGTGAGCAGGCATTTTACACCCACAAGTAGCCTGGAATCACGAAATAAATAAAAATAGCAATGCAGTTCCTGGCCTGCATTTTATTTACTCTCTGCCTTTCAGTTGGAACAAGGAAAATCAATAAAAACAGCCTTTCATTTTGTTTCTGCGTTCCCTGTCGCAGCCCTGGGATTCAGGTGCTGCCCTGGAACAGTTTTATATTTTGGAATTAATGCTGAAAAGGGGAAATATAAGAGACTTTTGGTTTGGCATTGTAAAGAAATGCCTTTGATGGCAAATTTAAATTTTGGCTGCGCTTGAAATTCTCTCTTTTTATTTTTTCCCCTGAATTACACAAATAATGTTATTTCCTGGTTCATGTGTCCTGTCACCCCTGACCTTACTGTTTCCAAAGGAGCCTTTTGAGAAGTGGCATCTCAAGGGCTGTATCTCATTTCTCGTTACCTGCTGTGAGATGTGTCTGTGTTGTGTTAATTATTAATTAATGATTGGCCAACCTGGTGATGTGTCAGGGTGAGGGGCAGGTGAGGTGGAGGCAGCTCAGGTTTTAGGATGTTGGTGGATACGTGGGATATGTTCTGGGGATACACCCAGGGATGGAAATCCCGGGCTTTTGGTGCCTGGGGAAGGGTCTGGAGGGGCCCCACAAAAAGTGCCTGAGGGCACTTGGCTGGTTCAGCTGGAGAAGAGGAGACTGAGGGGAGACTCCCAGGGATCTGATCCCTGCTCCCTGTGACAGTGACAGGACGCAGGGAATGGCTGGAGCTGTGCCAGGGCAGGGTTAGGTTGGATTTTAGGGAAAGGTCCTTCCCCCAGAGGGTGGTTGGCACTGACCAGGCTCCCCAGGGCAGTGGGCACTTCCCAAGGCTGCCAGAGCTCCAGGAGGGTTTGGACAACACCCTCAGGAACAGGGTGGGATTGTTGGGGTGTCTGTGCAAGTCCAGGAGCTGGATTGGATGATCCTGGTGGGTCCCTCCAACTCAGGACATTCCATGATTCCAATTACATTTAGTAGAATACTTCCAAGTTCTTTAGAAGAATTGATTCTCTGTGTTCTTAGAAGATATTTCACCTCCTTCCCGTATCTTTTTTTTCTTCCTTTCTTTCAATTCTGCTTTGATTATTTTTTTAATAAACCTCCCGGACTAGTTTTAAACACATTAAACATGGAGGTTTTTTTTTCCCTTTGAAACATCCTATCATTTTTTTTTTCCCCCAACCTCGGTGTACTTATCAATAACTTCATCTCATTCTTTTTATCCTGTAATTTGCATTATCTGAGCAGCCTGTTCATTAAGCTAATGCTCCTCATTTGCATTGCCACGTGCTTGACCCCAGCTCCTCGTTAATGCACCAACAAGCAGAGAGATCTCTCCAGAGCATTCTGGGGGGGGGGCTCTTGGCTCTGCTCAAAGCAACCACTCATTTAAAAGCTGATGAAAGTTTATTAAACAAGAAAACACACCCTAATGAAGCCGGAGCAGGGTTTGAATCCGGCGGATGCTTTTCCAGTAATCGCTGGTCTTTCCAGGAATTCTTTTTTTTTAAACTCTATATTGTAAGATGTGATTTTTTTCATCCCTGGGAAAATATTGCAGCGAAGAGAAATCATTGCAGAAGGGTTATGGGACAGCATAAAATAATCTGGATCAATCTGACTGATTTATTTTTTGAAAAGGCAGCTTTAAAGCCGGCGAACGGTGTGTGAAAAGGTGTAATAAATTTGGGTTTTTAGGAAAGCATTTGTAACATTTGGGATGAATTTAACACGAGTTTTCCACTGCAGTAAACTGATTTATGCCTGGTGAGGTTGGCAGAGTGCTACCAAGCAATTCTGAAAACGGTTTGGTCGAAGAAACATTTCCAGGCAGAGCTGGAGGAGAACTTAAAGCTCCTAAATGAAGATGTGTGGACCCTGTGCCTGGTTGGGAAGGAGGCAGAGCTTGTCTGACACCACAGTTTAATAGAAATCTTTAGTGAATTTATGAATTCTGTAATAAAATCTGGTAAATTAGTAGTTGAATTGAGTAGGTTTACCCTGAGAAGCTGTGGCTGCCCCATCCCTGGAAGTGTCCAAGGCCAAGTTGGAGCAACCTGGGATACTGGAAGGTGTTGGGATTGGAACTGGATGAAGGTCCCTTCCAGCCCAAAAAATTCTGGGATTCTGTAACTGATAGGAAGGAGTTAAAGGTGCCTTTGGCAACAGAGAGATGGGACACAGGGAGTGCCAAGATTTGAAGTGTCATTGGAAGGCAGGAAGAGAATAAATTTGGGAAAACTGCAGGTTTGCATGAAGGAAAATCCTGATGTTTTAATTTAATGCATTAGGACCTCCTTGTTCCAGGCATCATTCACGTAAAGAGAAGTCTTTTGGGGCAGAGATGATTTTGAAAAATAGACTTTTCTTAATGGCAGTTGCAACTGAATGAAGATGAATTCAATCAAGAGGCAAATAAAGTATGGAAATGAAAAGTGGAAGGAAAAAAAAATCTGTGCTGCCAACAGATATCCTGCCTTTCCCACTTCAGGGAAGTCATTTGACCACACTGATGTAGAAATTTGCTTGTGTTTTGTGTTCAAGTCCAAGTGAGCAGTTGGATAATCCTTGTTTTTAGCCCCCTCTGCTCCTCGAGCGCCGGGTTTGGTTCCAGCATTTTCTTGCTGGGCAGACAGTGATGAATT